GAGCATCATGGAGTTGGGGCCAGGCTCTGCTTCTTCCCGAGCTGATGGTGCAGCCTGTGTCCGTGGCTGCCTTTTATCAGAGAGGCCGAGGTTCTGCAGAGGTATAAATCTTTCAGCATCTGCAGCGTGACTCACTCCTTCCCCCAGCAGCCTCGGTGTTTAACCCAGTGAGAAAGATGGGTCCACAAAGCAGGATTTATTACCCTGTTCCATCTTAGTGCTCCACTGTAGAAGCCTTTTGGTATGTGTAAGCAGGTGGGTGAAAGGAGTCACCCTGAAGAAGATAGTGGTAGAAAAGGATCCCTGCATGGAGATACAGCTGGAGGTCAGTGCTGGTAACGTGCTGAGCCAGGCCTGTGCCTCTCTGCTGTCATTGTTCTTACTGGGTCCAGTTCTGGGTTCCCCAGTTCCAGAAGGACAGGGAGCTGCTGGAGAGGATACAGCAGAGGGCTGCAAAGATGATAAGGGGCCTGGAGCATCTCTCTGATGAGGAAAGGCTGAGGGACTTGGGGCTTTTGAGTCTGGAGAAGAGAAGGCTGAGGGGGGATCTGATCAACACCTATAAATACTTCAAGGGTGGGTGTCAGGAGGATGGGGCCAGTCTTTTTCCAGTGGTGCCCAGGGACAGGACAAGAGGGAACGGGCACAAACTTGAACAGAAGAAGTTCCACCTAAACACGAGGAGGAACTTCTTTTCTGTGAGGGTGGCAGAGCCCTGGCAGAGGCTGCCCAGAGAGGGGGTGGAGTCTCCTTCTCTGGAGACATTCAAACCCCACCTGGAGACGTTCCTGTGCAACCTGCTCTGGGTGGCCCTGCTTTGGCAGAGGGTTGGACGAGATGATCTGCAGAGGTCCCTTCCAACCCCATATCATTCTGTGATTCTTGTCCTAAAGATGAGGAGAGTGTGGGCATGGGCCTCCCCTAGGGTAAGAAGGGGCCACATGTCACCAGGTGTTCAGTGTGGAGCTCAGCCTTCGCACCCAGTGGTGGCAGCCACCTGGGGCCTGCAGGAGTTGGACAGATGGAGCTCAATGTGCCTCAGTTGGGCTTTGAGCAGTCCCTTCTCTGATCCTGCAGCCAAAATGAGCTAAGCCCCAGGAAATGCCAGGAGCAACCTGTCCCCAAGGGCTACATCTGCGCTGGGGTCCCGTGGCTGGACACAGGCAGGTGGGAGGCTGTGTGGAGCTGGGACAGCCCTGGCCCCCCTTGGGAGCTCTTCCCTGGCTGCACAGCAGCTGTGGTTGGGCTCTGTCCTTCAGGAAAGCCATGTGTCCCCCTCCTGAAAGGGCTCTTGCTCACCCTCAGTCCTGGGAGAGCATTTCTGGGGTTGGTCAGTCGCTTGCTGCTGTCAGGGTAATTAAAGCTTGATGCCTCAGATCCTGTGAGGTCACAGGGACGGAGCCCAGCAGAGGGGCTGTCAAAACCATAAGGTGATCTAAAATCCAAGCCTGGTCCTTTCTGGTGCATCCTAAACGCCCAGGTCCTTTCCCTACCTGCTGCCCCTCTGGACCTTAACACCATGAGACAGCACCAAAATGCTGCGGAGTTCCAGAGACACAGGAAATGTCTGGAGCCGGCCCTTGGAAAGGAGCAAAGTTTTCCAAAACAGCAACTCGTCCTCCCCCACCGCAGCCCCTCCACACGGGTATCACCAGAGTAGAATTCCCAGCTTCGTTGTGGGCATCCAGCTGCTGAGCACCCAAGGATCCCCAGAGAGGCTTGTGCTGGGAAATCAAGGACAGGTCAGGCTGCTTGTACTCAAGGGGACAGAAACAAAGCGGCGCTGGAGGGTGTTTTGAGGTTCAGAAGATACTATGTCTGTTGCACAGTCACATCTGCCTTGTATTCATGGAATTGTCAGAGTTGGAAGGGACCTCTAGAGACCCTCCAGTCCAACCCCCCGGCCAAAGCAGGGCTGCCCAGAGCACATCACTCAGGAGCATCCAGGCGGGGCTTGAAGATCTCCAGAGAAGGGGACTCCACACCCTCCCTGGGCAGCCTCTGCCAGGGCTCTGCCACCCTCACCCCAAACAAGTTCTTCCTCCCATTGCAGTGGAACTTCCCATGGTCCAGCTTGTGCCCGTTGCCCCTCGTCCTGTCACTGGGAACCACTGGAAAGAGTCCGGCTCCATCCTCCTTCAACCCCCCCTTTAGAGACTTGTCAGCATGAAGAAGGTCTCCCCTCAGCCTTCTCTTCTCCAGGCTCAAGAGCCCCAGCTCTCTCAGCCTTTCCTCATCAGGGAGATGCTCCAATCCCTCCATCCTCTCTGTTGCCCTACGCTGGACTCTCTCCAGCAGTTCCCTGTCTCTCTTGAACTGGGGAGCCCAGCACTGGACGCAGGATTCCAGTTGTGGCCTCCCCAGTGCAGAGCAGAGGGGGAGAATGACCTCCCTCCACCTCCTGGCCACATGCAGCCCAGGATCCCACTGGCCTCTTGGCCACAAGGGCACATTGCTGGCTCATGGAGAGTTTACTGTCCATCAGGACCCCCAGACTCTTCTCCTCAGAAGTGCTTTCCAGCAGGTCCACCCCTGACCTCTATTGGTGCCTGAGTTCTTCCTCCCCAGGTGCAGGACCCTACACTTGCCCTTGTTGAACCTCATGAGGTTCTTCTCTGCCCATCTCTCCAGCCTGTCCAGGTCACGCTGGATGGCAGCACAGCCCTCTGGAGTGTTGGCCAGTCCTCCCAGTTTGGTCTCATCAGCGAACTTGTTGAGGATACACCCTGTCCCCTCATCCAGTATTCCCCCTCCGGTTTGGGAGAAATGCTGTGTGTCTGCATTTCCTGACTGACAGCTGAGCCAGGGGATAGTAGGAGGTTGGATGGTCCTCGCTTTCAGTGCCAGAGCCCTGGACTTAACTCTGGAGGTGCTCCCCTACCTCCCCGAGCTCTGCCTGGGCACCCCGAGTCACTCTGTGCTGTTTGGCTGGGGGCTGCTGATGGGATGCGCTGCCCTGGCTGTGCCCTCAGCCCCCTCCCCTGCCTCCCAAAGGTGCCCCCTTGTTTCGCCCACCCCAGGGTGAGCAGCCTCGCCAGGGCACCGTCCCCAAGGCTGTTGGTGTGGCAGGGTCAGGGGAGGTGGCCACGTTTCTCCTGGGCTGCAGCACCAGCAGAGAAGCCTGTGACAGAAGCCTGTGGCCTGGGTTGAGAGACACAGGACTAACTTTTCTTCTAATGCTGGGGAAAACTGCACTTTTAGAAGACTCTGGAGTCTTCTGTTGTGAAAATATTTACTTTATAGCCAGCCAGGCTCTGTGGGATTCAAGGTCTTGGTGTTTCCGAGCGTTGCTGGGTGCAGGGACAAGGAGGAGCAAGGCCTGAGCACTTGACCCAGGCTGCCAACAGGATTGTTTCATACCATGAACGTCACATTCAATACAAATTAGAAAAGTTTGCTGTGTAGCTCTCTCTCCCTTGATGGTGGTGGGTCCAGAGAACTCCTTGCCCCGGTGCCGGACACCTGAGCCGTTCCCTTCCTCCTGAAGCTGTTGCGCTCGCAGGGTCCCACATTCACTGTCCCTGCTGGGAGGGCACAGCTTCCTGCTGAGAGAATTGGCTGAGTATAATTCTTGTATATCTTATATCAGTATTGGGATTAATACTCATTTTTTAGTATTATTGTTGGTTATTTAGTCTTATTCTATTAAATCTATTTCTATTTCAACCCTCGTGTTTCTTTGTGTTCCCCGATTCCCCTTTCCGGGTGGGGAGGGGTGATCGGGTGACAGAATAATTATCTAAACAACAATAAATTGTTATGGGTTTTCTCAAACCATAACAGGCAGCCATGAGGAGGCAGGCACAGGAGGGCAATGGGACAAGGTGGAAACCTGCCCACACTCGTTCTGTGTCCTGCTGCTGTCCCGTGTGCCCCTCTACAGGCACATCTCAGGCAGATCTTCTGACTAGAAGGCAGTGCTGGTCACGCCAGCTCCATGGGCACCTTTGGTGAGTGCACCTTCATTTCTCATTTGGGCGCAGGTGATTCCTCACCTCGAGGGCTGTGTTCAGTTCTGGGCCCCTTGCTATAAGAAGGACATTGAAGTGCTGAAGGGTGTCCAGAGGAGAGCCACCAAGCTGGTGAGGGGTCTGGAGAACAAGTCACACCAGGAGAGGCTGAGGGAACTGGGCACGTTGAGTTTGGAGAAGAGGAGGCTGAGGGGAGACCTCATTGCCCTCTGCAACTCCCTGAAAGGAGGGTGTAGAGAGGTGGGGGTTGGCCTCTTCTCCCAAGGGAATAATGACAGGAGCAGAGGAAATGGTCTGAAGTTGGGGCAGGGGAGGTTTAGATGAGATATTGGGAAGAATGACTTTCCTGAGAGGGTGGTCAGGCCCTGGAACAGCCTGCCCAGGGAGGTGGTGGAGTCATTATCCCTGGAGGTATTTTACAAACGCGTAGATGTGGCACTTCAGGGCATGCTCTAGTGCCCGAGATTGGTTTGTGTCTGATTGTGGGTGGGGGTTTTTTTGTTTGGTTGGTTGGGTTTTTTTTGGTGTTTGGACTCAATGATCTCAAAGGTCCCGTCCAACCATGAAGATTCTGTGATTCTCCATCTGTTACAGCGTAAATGGCTTCATCTCCTCTTGTGAAGGCAAACCAAGAGGCTGGTTTTGACCCCTGAGCACGCAGGCAGGGCCGAGGAGAAATGGCAGGTATTTTGGGGCCAAACTGTCAGGGACGTGATGCAAATCAAAGCCTCAGAATCCATTTTCTGGGCAAAGGAGGGTGCTCTCTGCCACGGGAGACATTCCCTCAGCCAGCCAGCCATGAACTCTTCTACAAAGCTGGGTCACCACCAGCTGGGGGTGAGGCCCCGAATGTGCCCCGGTGCCATCAGTGGGAGCAGCAGCCCCCGTGGCAGAGTTTGGTAGCTGAACCCCAACACCAAGCTCTTTGCAGGTGAGCAGAGGGGCTGCTGGGGACCAGACCAAGTGTGGGCCAGGCACCCAGATGTGTTCCCCAGCCCAAGCAGCAGCAAAGATGACAGAAGAGCCAGGTTTGATCCACTTAACTATTTCTTTTCTTTTTTTTTTTTTAATTATTAACTTGTGCCTTACAATAAGAAGAGGAAAGGGTGCGAGCAAACGGTTTGCTGGTTCCAGGAACTACTCTGGCACCACCACGAGGGCAGTAAGGTCCCGAGATGACAACCTCGCCAGGGCCCTGACACACAACACACACACACACACACACACGTGCAGTCTCCGGCTCTTGCAGAAGCGATCGCTGGCAATTTTAAGGCATTGAAGGAAACCTATGGTTGTAAATCCTACCCCAAATTTGGCACGTGTTGGAAGAGTGAAGAGCGGAGACGGGGGGGTGCTTTGGGGGCTGGTGTTGGGGAGTCCTGCGGGATGCTGATGTGAGCACGGGGCTTTCATGTGAGGACCCTGCAGCCGAACAAGGTGCCCTGCAGACCTCAACATTGACACCAGACGAGGTCCTGTGCCCCACGGGGTGGTGGTGCCTTCAGCTCCCAAGCCCCGGTTCCCTGCCCTACGCCTTCTGCCAGCAAACCCCCCGTGTGCCTGAACTAACGCTGCTGAAAACCAGAGCTGTCAGGACAAAACCATCCAGAAAAAAAAAAAAAAAAAAGAACATTCCTCATAATTTAAAACATAAGTGGCTCATAGACGAGATGTCAGGTGTGGTTGCAGTCCAGTATGGCTATTTCTGTGCTTCTGGATTAAAAGTGGACGGCTACGGCTTGAGAAGTGGGCAAGAGTTTAGCTATTTGTGGATGAAAGTCTGTATCCTTGAAACTAGTTATAGTTGAATTTTTTCCCTCCTCCCCCCCTGTGCCCCCCTCCCCGGCGAGCAGCGGACCCAGCCAGCTCCCCCTCACCCATCGAGGAAGGGATGGTGGGTGCTATGAGTCCACTGTGCCACCACCACAACCACCAACATGCACCTATCTACTGCCCGTGCCCCCCCTCCCACCCCCAAAATTTGAAAGGGAGCAATGTCCCAAGCTCGGCCTCTGCGGGGCTGGACCCACGAGGAAGCCATCCCTGGGTTGGTGTCCCCAGGGGGGTTATGTTTTCCTAAGGGAGGGCTTCCTGCAGACCCAGCACAGCTTCATGCCCAGAGGGGGATTTTAAAGGCCGAGTGGAGACTGTTCCCCCTCAAATTCAAAACCAACGGGGTCCTCACCGTTAGATTTTTGCATTCCCAAAGAATCCTTCCTGCGGGTTTAATCTTCCCCGTTTCTTGGCAGAGGTTATGGTGCCCTCAATCACCTCAGCCCGTCTGGATGATATCTTGGAGGTCACCGTAATAACCTCTCCTTGCTCCTCCTCCTTGAAGGACAGAGTAGAGGAACTAAAGCCTCTTGGCTGGAAGGAGTAAGTGGGGTTGGGGAGAGGATTGAGAGCTGAAAGGCCGCCGCTTCCTGAGCTGAAGAGGTTCTCCTCTCCCTCCAGCAGCTTCCTGCAAGCACATCACGAGGCAAGAGGTTAGTGTGGGGACATCTCCCCTGAAACATCTGCAAAGCCTGAGGACACGCTGTGACCTGCCAGCAAGTCCGAGCACTCCAGGCCACCCCCCCAGCCTGCAGTGGTCAGGTCACACTGCACCATGAAACTGGTTCAAAAATCATATGCTTTGGTCAATCATTTTTGGAGCACTTGCAATGTGGGAGAGGTGAGACCAGCTCCCTCCCCTCCCTCCAGAAATCCCAGGAAAATAAAACCCCCAACCAGAGGGACTTTGCCTTTTGCATCCACCTGGACTTTGCAGGAGACAAGTCTCCAACCCCAACTGTCCCCCGTTAAAAATCACTGCAGCTGGGATGGCTGGGAGACAGATCTGCTAGACCAAGGCATGACATGGAGCCATGGCTGTTCCCTGGGCAGGAGGGTGGCAGGGGAGAAGAGCAACACCATCGTGTGTACCCAGATATTTTCCAGGCCCTTGAAATATCCCAGCCTGGTGGGATCAGGGGATTGGGCTTAGAATCATAGAATGGTCAGAGTTGGAAGGGACCTTAAAGATCATCCAGTTCCAACCCCCTGCCCTGGGCAGGGACACCTCCCACCAGACCAGGTTGCTCCAAGCCCCATCCAGCCTGGCCTTGAACCCCTCCAGGGATGGGGCAGCCACAGCTTCTCTGGGCAACCTGGGCCAGGGCCTCACCACCCTCACAGCAAAGAATTTCTTTCTGGTATCTAATCCAAATCTCCCCTCTTCCAACTTAAAACTATCACCCCTCATCCTATGGCTCCACTCCCTGACCAAGAGTCCCTCCCCATCTCTCCTGTAGCCCCTTCAGGTACTGGAAGGCCGTTATAAGGTCTCCCCGGAGCCTTCTCTTCTCCAGGCTGAACAACCCCAACTCCTGTCCTCACAGCAGAGGTGCTCCAGCCCTCTGATCACTTTCGTGGCCCTCCTCTGTTCCACCAGATCCATGTCCTTTCTGTGTTGAGGACTCCAAAGCTGGACACGCTGCTCCAGGTGGGATCTCACAAGAGCAGAGGAGAGGGGTAGAATCACCTCCCGTGACCTGCTGGCCATGCTTCTGGCCTGGGAGGTGGCCAGGCAGAACAGGGTCAGAGCAGCCTTACCTGTAGGCAGCTATCTCAATATCAAGTGCCATCTTGACATTAAGCAGGTCTTGGTACTCCCTCAAGTGCCGAGCCATCTCGTTTTTGGTGTTTCGCAGGTCGTCCTCCAGCTGCCCGATGGTGTCCTGCAAAGGCAAGGGTGCTCAGTGCCACGTTTCGGAGCAGGGACCTCTCCTGTGGGTCTCCTCTGCCCGTTGCAGAGCCAAGGAAGCTGCAATGGGCAGTTGGACCATGATGGCACATCCCACCAGGAGCTTGGGGTCCCGAAATCTCATGCTAACAGGGATGGAGAAGCTGGGCATGGATTGGGAGTGTGTGCAGAGGAGGGAGGCTTTGAACATCGATGGGTTTATTTCATTTCCCATCTGCAGCAGGGTCTGAGAAGGCGGTGGAGAGAACGGCCTGGAGTCCTGTGGGGGAGGAGGCAGGCTGCTGCAGGGGGAAGGGCATTTTTGGGTTTAAATGTTGTCAAAGCGGGGGCGGTGGCTCAGCGGGACAAGGGAGAGCACCCAGCAGGGCAGGAGCTGGTGCCTGGAGAAGGGCTGCAGTCTGCATCTGGGGGGGCTCAGAAGGGTTGGGATGAGCATCTGGGGTGGTGGAAGGAGAGTTGGAGCTGCCAGGGCAGGAGGGAGGAGGTGGCTCCAGGAGGGGGGAGGCTGACACCTTCCCTGGAAAATGCCTCAGGATCCAGGCTGGGGGGCTCAGAATGCAGGGATTTGGGGGGGTTACAGAGTCAGGGCCCTGTGCTGTGGCAGCCGGGGTGCTCAGCTGGGTGATGACATCCTTCCAGCACCCTTCCCATCAGCTTCACCCTCCCATGGCTGCTACATGTGGAGGAGCCTGAGGCCAGATTGCCTTAGTAACAAAGGGGACTAACCTTTTTCTGATCTTTGTTGGAAAACAAAGCAGCCCCCCCATTTTCTCCCACACCATCCATTTCAGCATCAGTCTGAAAGCAGTGAAACCCCTTCCTATAGGGATCTTCCCAATCAGATGGTTTCCCGCTGCCACCACCTGGAAGTGCCACCAGAGGAGCAGTGATTTGGAGCAGGAATGAGTAAGCAGTTTGCACTGAAGTGACAGTGCAGCCCTGCCACCGCCTGTTCTCCCGCACCCCCTCCCACAGCCAGCCCTTTCAAAGTGCTTCCAAGCTCCTCAACGAGCTTTATCCTGCCCCACCATCCCCATCCTGCCCCTGGCTTCAGCTCCCATCTTGTCCCTGGCCTCATCCCCATCCTGTCCCCTCCTTTGTGTCCTGTGTGACCTCCCCTGTGTGTAGTGCAGAGATGGCCATGGGACATGGAGCCCCAAGGAGCAGGGAGCTGTGGTGAGGAGCCTGACACAATGAGCCTGGTCTGAGCGGAGACCCTTGGAGAAGCAGCACCAGCTCATCCTGGATGTGGCACGGGGCATCTCCTAGCCAAGCCAGCTGGACACATCCCACCTTGAGGGACATTTACAGGCCATCCTTGGGGGTTTTGCCCTGACCTGTGCTGCCCTGAGTGTCCCCCACAGCCAAACACGGAGCTGTGCCTCTGAGGTGGGGCTGGGCAATGGGAAGGGGTTTGAGGAGACCTTTGGGGCACCAACTGGAAAGCCCCAGGACACGCAGAGCTGCTGCTCTGTACAGGTTAAAACCCCTGCTCTGCTGCAGCCAGGCTGCTGCTGCACCGAGCCCTGACAAGAAGGAGGGACTCGGGGTGACCTAACCCTGGGGCAGCCCCACTCTTGGACCCTCCCTGCCCCCAGTCCCCTTCCCTCTGCCTGCAGCCTGCCTGGAAAAAATGCTCTTTAAAAACGGGATATCCTTCTTACCTTGCCCATACCTCTCTTCTCCACCCCAGCTGGTTGAATAAAACCCCCTCCCCACACCACTGCAAACCTGTCCCCTAATGGAAAGCTCTCACATACTGGTTCAGACTGGAGTGGACAGCCTACAGAGAGACCTGTCTCTGCTTCAGCAGTCTACAGGAACATTTTAAAAGCTCAAACAATAGGAATATTCTCTCCTAAGACAGACTTCCACCCTTTCCCACTGGTTGCAGCCAGGGAAATGATTTAGCTGCTGCACATACACATTGTTTAAAAGACACCTCAGTATTGCCACACTTAAAGCAGAGCCTGAGGATCACACAGTAAAAAGCTGCCGTGCTGTAGCTAAAGCAATTTCAATTATGGTCCTGTTTAATCCAGTTGTATTATTTTTTTTTCCCCCAATTGATAGAATCCCTCTTTTCACACGGCATCACGACTATTTAAGAAGATTACTGTGTGTAATCCTTTCACCCGCTATAGAAAGCATCGTATATTGCCTATTTCCACAATATTTGTTGAAGACGACCTCAACTATTCAGGAAGGATGGCAAGCAGCTCAGAGCTAGTCACGAATTCTAGAGAGCCTGGACAAATCTGGCCTTGAAAATGACTAGGCATTTCTTGCGTGGGGGATAACAATGGCCTTCAGGTATGACACAAGACAGTTATTTCAGTATTTAGAAGGAAACTGCTTGATTTAGAAACCCTGGATCATTTAATAGCCATGTAACAGAACAAGCTCAGGTTTTATTTTATTATAAATCATGAAGGTTGCCCTGTAGGAAGCAAATGTGGTCGTACTGCAGTACTGGAGTAAGAGAGATGGAGTGCTCAGTGTCTGCCCCACCTGAATCCTCCCCCAGACGCAGGAGATGCTGGGATCTCGCTGCAGATTCAGCCCTAACGTTTGCAGAGCTCCAGTTTCTGCAGTGCAGGTGCCAAGAGCTGGGCCACAAGGCAAGGGGCCAAGTGGCTTCGAGGAACTACCCACAACCATAGGGAACGTGTGGGCAGTTGTGGAGCTGGCTCCTAAGGGACCTGGGCAGGGATGGAGCCAGGAGCCAAACAGCTCTGCCCTGTGCAGGGATGTCCCCTGTGGGAAAGGAGGGTTGGAGGGAGCATCCTGGCCCCCCCAAAACCTGTCCTCTGGGGTTCTGCCTATGGATAGAGGGTGAAGGCAGCAGGCAATGCCCTGGTGAGGCAGAGAGGCGGGATGCCAGGGGGGGAGGAAGGCTGCAGGGATGCCCGGTGCTGCATGGGTGGGCACTGCACAAGGCAGAGGGGCTGGTGCTGTGTCTGGTGTGTGTGTGTGTGTGTGTGTGTGTGTCTGCTGCATGCAGTGCAGCACATCACGGGATGCGGGTGCTGCACGGTGCAGGGAGGGGGTGGGGGGAGAGGGTGGATGG